GTATAGGAATTATTTTGGTCGGCAAAGGTACAAGGTTTATATGTTTTAATAAAGGTGGCTTCCGAAATATATAGATGAAAGTTTTGCACTGGGATTTTCTGCACTTCTCCAGTCCAGAGTTTGTCCCATGAACCTTCTCTTCACCTCCGCTATTTGCAACGTTTTCTACTGTATGCTACCAAGCTTCGATCCTTACCACAGCATCCCACATGGGGTAGTGTCTTTCTTCCTCAGTGGACAATGGTCTGCAATTCCTTCTTTTGGCCTTCATATTCAGGTGCAACTGGCTGAATTGGAAAACATTGCTATCCCTAATGACTAGCCCATTCCACCAAGGCTTATTACCATCCCCAGATGTGACCTTTCATTGAGTCATCTGAGGAAGGTGGATACTCCCATTTAGAAGTACCGTCTTCTCTTTACTGAAGATCTTTCGCGCCATCCTTCTATTCCCATTTACACTGATGGTTCGAAATCAGGTGACTCTGTAGGCCCTGCTGTGATTTGTTGTGGCTCAGTAGTTGCTCACAGGATCCCCCTCTATAGTTTCTGTTTTAACTGCCGAGTTGTATGCCTTTTCTCTTGCCCTGGATCATGTAGAAACTATGCAGTATAGCGAGTGTACTATTTACACTGATTCTTTTAGCTCTTTACTGGCCCTGGAATCGCTTAACGTTAGTTCTCACCATGTTCTCGTCGATATTCAACAACTACTTACCCACTTTTCTCTATCTTCTGTTTCCATTAAGTTTTTCTGGGTACCTGGTCGTGTCGTTATTCGCGGGAACAAGCTGCTCTGGTGCCGTCACGGCCGTGCCTGTTCCATATATTGACTACGGTCCTGTTCAAGGCGCGGCTTCGCGCCAGTTGACAGTCGGCTTGAGATGAGCAACGTCATAACAAACTTTTCCAGATCAAACCTTCTGTTACTCTTTGGCCGTCTTGTTTCCGTAAGGATCGGAAGGAGGATATTGTCCTGCCTAGGCTACACATTGGTCACACCTTTTAAACTCACCGTTTTCTTTTATGTGGTTCTGACTCACCAATGTGTAGCCTTTGTGACACTCAGGTCACAATAGCTCACATTATACTGCCGTGCTGTCGTTACGACCATGAGCGGCGGCACCATTTTAGACATGTCTTTTCTACGGGTTTACCCCTGATGTTGGACAGTATCGTTGGCGGTGTGGATGCTGTCCAACTTAATTGTGTTTTTTAACTTTTTACGAGCCATTGGACTTTTTAATTATATTTGAGTTTTTAGGTGCCTTTTGGACATCGTTTGGTTTAGCTTTTAACTCGATTTAGTTTTAGATTTTTTAGAATTTTAAATTTAAGTTTTTACCAGTTGTTTGGCGCAGATAGCTTAGTTGCTTTGCGCCAACAAACAAACAACCAATTAATAAACATAATGAAAGACTGTCCAGGCACCAAAATGACGTTTCTACCAAACCTAAGTACACTGGAGTGTCAGGATTGTTTTACTTACGATGTACTTGTGTCAGAATGTAAAGCCAGAGAAACAACCCATTTTAAGAAACATTCGTTCATATCTTGCAAGACTTCACCGAGGAATATAAGTAAATATAATGTTCCTAATTATCACTTTATGTATAGGGAATTATCGTATTGTATAGTTACAAGCTCGTTTATCCTTCTTTGGGGTTCACTGGCTAGATATTTCTATTTGGATAAATGTAAAATATAATTATCAATTAACACTGCTGTGCGAAAAAGGCAAACTTCTCTAACAGGTAGAATGTTTCATTTACAGCAGAAGAGAGAGGGAAATGATTGTGTGTTATTTGCCATCACTTTCCTGCCTGAATTTATATGTTCAAGACTATCGGAGAATACCAGGATAGGGGACCTAGTAATATACGTTTCTCGAAACAAAGTGCAGACTCATCTAATGGAATGTTTATAGTGAAACTGTATCAAACGTTTTTCACAAATTTTTACAATAACACGTGTTAGAGGAACACAACATTATCAGTTTAATACGCCATTTGTCTGTGATTGTAGACTACTTGACGTTGTATGGGAAATAATTTAATGTAGTTTCAAGAAAACAAAATACTGTAAACTTGGGTACCGTAAGCACTGTATTGGTATTACACAACGAAAAACATAAAGTTAGATAACGTTTAGGATTATTTTCTCTTTATATATTGTTTGTCAAATTTCTCTCTTGCACAAAATTGTTCATTAAGTAATACATCCCTGTCTAAATGTTTGTTATTAAGCATTATCTTTAGGTGGCCTATTACCTGCGTCACCATAACACGTTGTTTAATTATGTACACCGGTTTTGAAAACCAAATCATTTAAAAGGCCCTTGGGCATTTTTCTCGCTTATCACAAATAAGCACACGTCACACATCATTTTACAAACAGCTAAAGCTACACGAGGTTAGCCGTCGTAATTTTGAAATGATAGACTAGAGAGGGAAAACGGCAGCCAACATCATCCAACGCCAACTTCTGAGCTATTCTTGGGAGACAAAATACCTGAATTTGATTGTCATTCTTATAACTCACCCATAGTCCCAAAGTGCAAAGGCGATTTTAGTTTTTTTTTATCGCAATCAGATCATCTGAGATTATTTTTAATTTTTACTTGGAAAAATGACTTTTCAATATTTATTTACATTATCTCCTTTCTTCCCTAGTTAGGTTTCCAATACATTTTCTTCCCGTACTCAAGCAGTTGAAAATGAGTTTATAGTCCTTTGTCCTTGTGCTTTTCGTTCAAATAAAAAGGTTAGAAAATGGATACTTGTAAGTGTCATTTGTCTTTACAGATTTCAAACCAAACTATCTATGGACAGCTCTAAGCTAGAATTATTTTATCTTTTTGAATATCATGTACATAATGCGACGTGTTTATCGAACCCCGGATTTTAGAGTTATAAGTTCCAAAACTTACTGCTGTCCCACCGGGAGAGCTGTTATACTCAAACGATATCAAAGAAAGTTTCAATTTCTAATATACGGACCAAGCCAACCATTTTATTTTTCTAAGTATAATGCTTGCTTAAAAAAAATTCAATGTGACATTTTATTTTACTTTTGTCAAAGCTACAACCAGCAGGTGATTATATTTAAAAAAAAGTTACAGAAAACAAATATGTTCAGAAAAATTCTAATCAAAATATTTTATATCAAACCACGTGACAGTTCATTTTTCAATGCAAGTGCCATAGCTTTTACAGCAGCAAAGGTTTCTTCTCCTGATGGAATTATTTGGCTAGCAGGAAGAACGAAGCCATATCTTCCCGTGTCTCTTAGTTCAGGAGTATAAGCATACTTAATTCCAGCAACACCATAAGCCCAGTCATCAGCTCCTCCTGCAGCAATATCTGTAAACAAAGTATAGCATTGTAGTTGATGCACTCAAGAATTATAAAAGCTTTTAGAATTGCTAGATAAAAAAAGTGGTAGCTAGTTAATAGTAAGGTTATAATTAATTATTCTAGAAAGCTTAATGAAAGCTATTACTTCTAAAAACTTACACAGAAGGTTTGTAGAAGAACCTATTTGGTACTTTGTTCCGTGGACAGAATTCAGGGCCTTGACAGCAATATTAGCCAGGTTGTACTATAAATAAAGATCAAATATACATTTCTTAGCTATTCAAAGTGATACTGAAACAGAGTTTTGAACTATAATTTTCTGTAAAAAAAAAAGGAAGAAAAAAGGTGTTAAACTTGACATATTGGTTGAGATTTAGCCATCATCGGATTTTTGTTATTAAGCTTCAACCTTTAAATATCATGGATAGTCACGTGTTGACAGCACTGGTATTAGTAATTAATATTTAGTATTTAAAACAAAAGTTACTGTTAACACAGTTAATGGAAATATTTTGAAATCTGTTCATTATTAGCTTATGCTTGGTTAATGAAAGAAGCATTTAGTATGAACCCATTCGTGTTTATATAATCAATATTAAGTATTTTGCAAGCTGTTAGTGCTTATCTACTAAAGTTTTATTATGAATTTAGTATTGTTAAACGGTAACCTTGTTTTGTGTAATGTACAAATGTATTTACTTGGAAGCTGTAGAATAACGTTTGGCTTTAATAGTCCAGATATCCGGCTTGGTACTCTTTTTACAATTCGACAATTTCGGTGGAAAGGTAAGAAAGAAATTGTAAAAATAGAACCTAACCTGAGATTTGGGCTAATGTCTTTACCTGATCCATCTGAAGACAGATCTAAGGGTGTTCTCGTACCGCCATGCTGCGTGGCAATCATTTTGTTTAATCTCCTTTAGACTATTTTATCTTTTTCAGTGGTTTACACACTTTTTAAATATTTTTTTTTTCTGTTTCACCAAGGTATCAAAATCCATACCTGATCGTCGTAATCGTCAGGGAGTTTAGATGTCCAGCCCCAGGGCGTCAGCCATAGCTGTGAATAAGAATGTGTGGCGATGTACAGCTTCACCTGGTTCTTCCTTGCCAAAATAAACTCTGAAATGGCCTTAGTTTCAGGTTCCGAGAAAGCTTTAGGTCCAGCGTATAAGTCAGAACATGGGTTACTGCTAGCTCCTCCCTCTGTTGACCATTGGATAAAATATTTAATATTTTGTTTTGTTTTTATTCAAGATTAATTTTTTTATGTTGGTAGTGAAGTCATTTCTCGATAAATTTTTGTTAGGCTTGGATTTGAATAATATTTCAAGTTATAATTCACTCCGAAATGTTTGTTTACAGTTTACAATTACATTTGATTGTTTTCTTAATCTTAAAACTGTAGTAATACTGAATCTGTTTAAATTTGAAAACTTCACGCTAAATTAAGCTAAATATCGCATAATTACAGAGAAGTATTTTTTCATCTTACGGTTCCACTTGAATCCAAAGTTTCTGTTAGCATCCACACCTATACATCCCCACACTGATGTACCCACTGAACGTGTCTTACGCCACATTCGATTCTGTTAGGAAACACAATGTATATATAGTGCACTAGTTTTTCCCCAATTACTATGATACTAATTCTTCTAATGTTTCCTTCTTAGTTTGTACTGAAAGAAACTATAGCTAAAATGTCATAACTGTTTTTAGTATTATAGATTTTCTCAGGTATATTTGGTAATAAGGAATGTGATAGTAAGTGTGTTGTTAAGGTGATTTTTATGTTGATTACTACGACAACAACCTTCAGTAAGGCCCCTTTTTTTCTACTTCCAAAGACTGTTGACAGGGTTAACACAGTGAGAGTATACTTTCTTGAATAACGCTGAACACAAAACAATGAAGGCTAACACTGAAGAATGGTTTGTATTAAAAAGCAAACATATGGAGATACTCGTATATATACTCGCTAATGGTAACAACTGTGCGTGATAAAGATTGAGTAATACTCACATAATCATGGCTGTACTCATAACCGTCAGGGTTAACAGATGGTAAAATATACCACTCAAATGTATCAACCAGACTCTTGATGTCAGGATCACTGTTGTAATTTTGAATCAACTGAAAAACAGAAGCAGTAGCTGAGCATAAAGCATAGTAATGGTTACTGTAAATCAGTTATTCAGATTAGTACGCTTTATATAATCACTCTCTAGATGTACTACGTATTTAGTTTTGAATACTCCGTGGACATTATTTTCTTTCATATTGGTAACATACATGGCTTGGAGTGATGAGTTGCATCATTCTCTAGATATATGAGTTACTACGCTTTAAATAACCACTCTCTAGATGTACTACGTATTTAGTTTTGAATACTCCGTGGACATTATTTTCTTTCACATTGGTAACATACATGGCTTGGAGTGATGAGTTGCATCATTCTCTAGATGTATGAGTTACTACGCTTTAAATAACCACTCTCTAGATGTACTACGTATTTAGTTTTGAATACTTCGTGGACATTATTTTCTTTCATATAGGTAACATACATGGCTTGGAGTGATGAGTTGCATCATTCTCTAGATGTATGAGTTACTACGCTTTAAATAATCACTCTCTAGATGTACTACGTATTTAGTTTTGAATGCTCCGTGGACATTATTTTCTTTCATATAGGTAACATATGTTTGTAACTCATACATCTAGAGAATGATGCAACTCATCACTCCAAGCCATGTATGTTACCAATGTGAAAGAAAATAATGTCCACGGAGTATTCAAAACTAAATACGTAGTATATCTAGAGAGCGGTTATCTAAAGCACAGTAACTCATACATCAATACGTAAAATAGACAGTTCTTGTGCAAAAATGTTAAATAAAATATAAAACGAAAATCAATGTTTTTCCTTGCATAATTAATTATTTGTAATATATATATATATATGAGTTTAAAAAACTTAAAACTCTACATGTTTCGGTGGAAATAATTCCACCATCTTCAGGAGAATCCATCAAGAAGTACACATAACATTGCTTATAAACCTAATGTACGTGTAAAATTAGCATATATGTACAATGGCGCCATTTACAACAATAATTTTTTGGAAATTATTTCGGTGGTTCCTGGGCCTAAATCTCTATTTAAATTCATTTTGTTTTTAACAATTTCTAATGATTTCCTTATATTTAATTCATCTTTTTCCGTTAACTGTTTAAGAATTTTTACATTATCCCAATCAATAATATTAATCATAAGAACTGTGTTGTGCCAAATAATATTAAAGTTAAATGTAACTTTAAAAGCAAAAAGGTAACGTTTATTATAAAACAAACTCAATTTAAAATTCCTAGAAGTATTATCAAAGAAAAGAGGAGTGAAATGTGCAAAACCGAAGCTGAATTATACTATGTGCATCTAAAATTAGCTAGGAATATACAGTGTATGGTGTGGGATAAGTGGGAAACATCTAGTTGGTGTAAGTGTGAAAAGGTAAGATGGAAACATTAGAATAATTTGAGTAAGAAATTGATTAACTTAATTAAGAATGATAAACATTCAAAAAAGAATTTAAAAGTGAATAATGTGGACTAAATGAGAAGTACATTAAATTGTTAAAGAACCTAAAGATAATAAATATGTCAAAGGAAAATATTACAACAGAACAAATTAAAATTCTTGAGCTAGGTTTGGATTTTTTTGTAGATAACAATAGGTTAGTGAAAGATGATTTAATAGTGGCTGTATAAACTAGTTTAAAAAAACTGAAAGTTAATTATGATATTGTAAAGGATACTGCTAGATCATCAGTGGCAAATATTTTAATTTCAGAAAAACTAAAAGAAACTTTTATAATCATGATGTTAATGAACTTCGTGTCATTAATGATAATACAAACATTGTTATTTCTAAAGCAGATAAAAGTGGACAGATTGTCATATTAGATAAAAGTGTGTATAATGATAACATTAAACAACTTTTTAAAAGACGGTTCTTATATTGAAATCAAGAAATGTCCTACGAATGTAATACGTAATAAAGTTTGTTTGTTTTGAATTTCGAGCAAAG